GACGGGTAATCTATTCTGTGTAAAAGTCATTAGACAACCAATCAGAACAACCAATAAAGCCAATAAACAATAAATGTCATAAGATGCAAATATCAATAAACACATAAGAATTGAAATATGTGAGTAAAATCAGAATTTAGGGGCACACAAAGCTCATAACTTACTTTTTATTAACAACTTCTGATTTTTTTTTTACAAAGATAAAAATTTTACAGACTGAAGTGGAAAACAAAGTTTCTCCCCAACATCACAGCTGATACAAAAACACACTTTTCATCGCCGCAGACGACTGAGCGACTCCTGCGTCCACAGTTCAACAGGAACAGATGTTTTTACTTTTCATCTAAATTTAACGGCCCATAATCACACACTGCTGCGCGAACGCTGCGCACATACTCCAGTGTAAAGCTCAAAGCCTGCATTACATGGATTTTATTTATGTGACGCACTTTTCATCTGTAACAGCTGCTGCGCGCTGGATTTAAAATGAGACAATGCTCGCTGTCCGACCCGTCTTATCTGCTCGGGATTTGCTGCAGGTCCACTTTACGAGAGCAGCTGCATTATGTAAGAAAACACTGAATATGACTCGGGATCAGCAGCCCTCCAAAATAAAAGTCCAGCCTCAAACCTCACTGAGAAAAAGCTGAAAGCAGAGCTGATTTCTGTGACAGCGAGCGAGCGCTGCAGGCTGATGGGAGCGGGCAGCACACAGGGAGAGTTTTCCTGCAGCTGATCCGGGCGATTCATGGAGCATTTAGTCCATCCAGACAAGTCAGCGTCAACACTTTAACTGAAACACACACACACACACACAGGGCTGTGTAAAGAGTGTGTGTGGCTGAGAGAGAAGACACTGCAGGCGGCTGAACAGATAGAGAAAAAGATGGTGCAAAGTTTGAATAGGAGACATTTTCCCGGGGCTGAAGCACAGACTGGATATCTGGAAACAGGAAGAAGCCTCCAGGGTTTCTTCCTGTTAAAAGGGAGTTTTTCCTTCCCACTGTCGCCAAAGTGCTGCTCATAGGGGGTCATATGATTGGGGTCTTTCTCTAAATGTATTATTGTAGGGTCTACTTTTCAATATAAAGCACCTTGAGGTGACTGTTGTTGTGATTTGGCGCTGTGTAAATAAAACTGAATTGGATGCAGCCATTGTGACATCACTCATTAGCCAAGTCCTCCAAAAGCTGCAGTTCCTCCAGGGTCCACTCGAGGCTCCAAAAGTGAGTCAGCAGCAGTTTTGTTTCAAACACTTTGCCTTTAAAAGAAAATTCTCTTATGCAGTGAAGACTAACCAGAGGTAATTTTACCGGCAAACAAATCAACTTGAAATATACTGAAAGAATCCTCAGAGACCGACTTCCTGCAACTATCCAGGAACAATCTGCTGACAATCTGAGCACCTTCCAGCACGATGGAGCTCCATGTCACAAGACAAACATGATCTGAAGTTTGCAGAAATCTTGAAACTTTGGATTTATGGGCAGGAAAATTCGCGTATCGTAATCTGACCCAGAATCTTTGGTCGGCGGTTGGACGAGGAGAAGCCGACAAAGCGACCAACAGGCTGAAACACTGATCGGGCAAGAATGGATCTAACAAGTCGTGACAGCGAACCAAGCGTGGTTCTTACACTGCACACTCACTGACACGAGCACCGTTTCTAACATTCACACTGCCGTGGATGCATCTGAGAGCACTTTGGGGTTCGGTGTCTTTCAGAGGAATACTCTGGCATGCAGACTGTCAACCTTCCAGGTAGATGACCATAAATTTGTCAATACAACCAGAGTTGGGAGAATTTACTACTTTGGTTTGTCTGAGTGTTTGCCAGGTTCTTTTAGACTCCACGGGGCTGTGATTCATACTTTCAGTTGGCAGGAGAAAGGTCGCTGGGTCAAGTCAGAGCCACAATTCCTCTGTGAGGTTGCATCAGGAAGGGAATCCAGTGTAAATCTGCAAAATCAAACCACCTGCTGTGAAACCTTTTATGGCTTTTATAGCTTTAAACTTCTCACAGTCTGACAGAAAACACTAAAAGGAGCCGAAACAAGTAAATCGACAAGTTAAAAAGCGCCACAGGCAGCTCCAGCCTGGCACCTCGGCTAATTCCAGTCCCTGAACTGGACCCTGTTTGTACTGTTGGAGCCTTTTTAATGACATCATCTGACCAATTATATGGCTGCTGTGAGGTTACTGTAGTAACCATGAAGTCTGAGTCAAAGTCGAGGACTTGATTTGGATGTGACTCAGCGCTGATTAGCAGGTATCTGTGATGTGAGCGTGTTAGCCATGTTAGCTAATAATGCGGCACCTCAGCTCTCATCCAGATACAGTCCCCACTGGCTCCAAAGCGCCAACATTTAGGAAAGCATCTTTTATATACAGTCTATGATTTTACCCCTCTCTGTGACTCTGAGGTCTGATTTATGGCTTTATGATCGAATAATAAACCTAAATTATCACCAAAGACAGGCCGCGCCGTTTCGTTTTCCTGCTCATTTCTGTGCAGTAACGAAACCCCGTGCGTCGGGGCCTCGTCGCACGTTTTACGGCATCTGAACCGGAGCCTGCAGAAGGCGTCAAACTCAAACACGCCGTCTCAGCACAGGAAGGACGTTAAGTTCTGAATTAATAATGAGAATTAAACGAAAACACAAAACTGGCATGAAAGACAAACTTCAGCTTCATCAGAAATACTCCATGTTTACTCACATTTTGCTTTTATGATTCACAATTTAAATCTCTGCAGGTTGAAGAAATCAAAACACATTTTTTTCATTCAACTTAAAAAAAACCAAACAAACCAAAAAAAGCCCCCAAAACCCACTGCAGCGAGGAGACAGGAAACCTGCGCGTGTAAACGTGAAAAATCCAACAAACACAAAACATTTAACGTTAAATCGGTCAAAATATACTGTGTGTGTATGCAGAGTATACAGAGAGAGGCGTATAAGTACAAACAGGAAATAAAAAGAACCAAATAAAAGGATGTGAGCATCAACTCTGCTCCCAGCGTATGTACAGGTCAAGGCTTACAAAGCTCATAAGTTCAGGGATGAAATCACACGCCGACACTGAGCTCTCGCTCCCATCGGTTCCCTCCTTCATCCAGCGCTTCATCTCTCCCTCCTCCTCGTCACGTGGGCGTACCTCTCGGTGATGCCACAGTCTCTTGGTTTTAAAAAAGCTCCTCTTTTGTGCTTCACTCCATCTTGGACATCTCAAACTTGGTCGTCATCGTTTCCTGCAACAGAAAACACACGTTTGTAGTTTCAGGAGCTTTGACCCACAGACTGAAGCGTCCACCTTAGAGCATCTATATCATGTCTTACAGAAAGACAGACTTAGGAAGGATTTGCATCCTTTTGACGCTGGAATATCGTCTGCAGGCTGTTCCACTCCTGCATGGCCACACGGGGAATTTTGTGTTTTTTAAAAATTACTGGAGTTGACCTCGCTGAAATTTGCACCTTTTGCAGACTCAGCCCGGCGAGCTGAACTGGACCCTCTGGTGGTTCTGGTCCCACGTGACCCCTGCTTTACATTCTCAAGCAGTCAAAACGTTTGCACAGCAGGACAGTGGAGCTCAGCGTGGACGTAAACAGCGATGGTCCTGAGTGGATCTACAGCCTAAACGTTCTGCTCAGAACCGGCCTCTGAGCGACAAACTGCAGACGTCAGCACCATTTACAGATATTAAAAAGCTCTTTTACATCAGGTTATTTCAGGCTCAGGGATTAAGGAAGGCCAGAGCGCAGCTTCTGTCTTCACCTCCGTGTTTTCATGAGCGACACTGAGGAGCGCCGAGCGTTTCAAACAATCTTCTCACGCTGGCTCAGCTGCCTGAATCCAGGTTAACAGGATTTATTCAGGTAGCAAAACAACACAAAGCGTCGGGGTGACGGCAGGTGAGGCACAATTTCCTCCTCGATCGTGATGAATTGCGTAATTTAGCATAAGAGGCAGGTTGGGTTCAGATTCAGCCCTCATTCATCTCTTAAATAACAAGAACGCGTTACATAATCTAGCAAAAGGAGGCGACGAGCAGGGAGTTAAAGGCATTATTTCCCCTTAATTTAACCCTTTGATGAGCCGGCTTCATTACGTACACGTCCATTATCCTCGCTGGCAGAACGAAGCCCGCTCGCCCTGCGGGGAACAGAGCGTGTGCACACTTCATATCTTCTGTGGGTTTAATACCCCTCTGCGTTCATATGGCCGCTTATGTAAGAAATTGATTTTACATAAGAGGCACTTTGTTGATTGCCGGACGCCTTAAAGAGGCTCGGTTCGCAGACGAGACAGTAAATAATTTGGAAAATGGTTTGAATGAAGAGCCAACAGAGGACACGAGGAAAAACACGGACGGATGTTAAAACGAGCGCGGCGTCTGCTGGACGTCGGTCTGAGGCCGCTGATCACACAAACAATGATGAGAAAAAATACAAATATGTTTTGTTTTTATTCAGAGGATCATTAACAGCTGCAGCGCGCACACACACACACACACACACACGCCGCGTGTCTGTCGCGTCACATCTTTCTGCTCACCATGACAACACAGAGGACGATAAACAACAGTATGACGTAACCAGCAGCACAAGGTGTTTACTGTGGGTCTGCTGCCCCCTGCTGCTCATAAGCTGTGTGTGTGTGTGTGTGTGTGTGTGTGTGTGTGTACCTGTCTAGAGATCTTTGTGGGGACCAAAAATTGGTACGTTACTAAACTTGTGGGGAGTGACTTATGAGGACAAAAGTGGGCGTCCTCACGAGTCTGAAGGCATTTGTGAGACTCAAAATGTGGTTTAGTTAGTTAGTTATAGTTATAGTTATAGTTATGGTTCAGCTAAGGAAAGCATTATGTAAATTAGATTTCCTCACAAACAAAACATGAAAACGAGAATGTGTGTGTGTGTGTTTCTGAATAAGTTCGAGTTTGTTCACTGAGCTCTTCGAGTGAACTCAGTATGCAGGTGAGAACAGTTTGACGCTCTGTGGTCTCCAGAGGGAGATCCACCCAAACCACCACAGCTTTACTTCACAAATGAATATAAAGTGATAATAGTGATAACGTGGAGTTTCAGGGTGAATCACAGAAATGAAAACACTATTTCAACCCTGCGGCTTCGTTCCACTGGTTCAGTTTCTCTTTTAAATGCAAATATATTTAATATGTTAAAGTTGATTTTAAAACCAAAGTCGAAAAGGCCTCTATAATAGAAACAGTTTATAATAGAAACAGTTTATAATAGAAACATCTGCTTGACTTTGGACCTGATCCCAGAGGAGTTGGGCACCTTGTCCTCTAAAGTATAAAAGATGTGACTTTTAAAAATGATATATTTCTGTGGATTTCAAAGTTTTACAGGACTTCAGAATTTCAATTAACTGGAAAAGAAACAGTTTATTGACATTAAATGAGCTCTGATGGCTCAAATGCGATACCTCGCAGCCATGAGGGGACCCACACTCTCTGGGGACCTTTCGGGACTTCTCATGTCCAGAGACACTTCCTGCATTTCTCTTTAACGCAGATAAACAGACTCAGGTGATAAAGCTGCGTGCTGCTTGATTTTGTTGTTACCTGCGGGTTATTGTCAGTAACGATGACGATCTCATTTATTATTTATCTGTTAGCGGCCTCAAACACAATTTTCAAACTGTGATAAAGTTTAAACTTTAATAACTTTGGTAGTTTAAAAAAAAATAATCGAAACCATCAACTGGTCAGATCCCAGTGAGTCTACTCCGGGTACCATTTGCGCCTTTGTGCTCTAAATTCTCCACAGTGACGGAGAAAGTTTCATTTTACGTTTGAATCGATGTCAAATTTTTCCAGTGAAGTGAAAGTTTACCTCGTCAGAGTCCAGCAGGGGCGGCAGGGCGCTGCGAGGAAGAGAAAACACGTTCAGTGTCGGGTTTCTGATTCACAATAATCAGCAGATTCACACTGATTAACGCTCGTGACGACTTACACATCTGCCATAGATGATGGGATGTTCTCCTCAACCCACTTCAGGTCCTCATCCTAAGGAGATTAAACATGAGGGATCAGACTGAGTGATGCAAACAGAAGATTTTCCTTTGAACACTAAACATGACTTCATCAGCTGTTCAAACTGTGATTGAATGCAGTAAAATAAGCAGCTACAACGACTGAACAAAAATCAGTTTAGTCAAAACTTTAGAGAGTAAAGTAAAAAAAGAAAAATAAGTTTTAGTTTCTAATCCATTCAACGGATCCAAAAAAATTAAGATAACGCTGAAGCACCAAAAGCTGCAGTTCCTCTGACGTCCACCGGAGGCTCCAGCTGCTGAGTCATGTTAAAACTTTACAGCACAAATGAAGCACGTTGTGACAAAGTGGCTAGGACAGAATTCATTTGCCATTTGTCACTTGCATATATTGTTATTTTGTGTTCTGTTATTTCACAGTCAGCCATAATGATTTGATTTTGGCTGGTGTAACTTCTCTTAACACACACTATCCCGGGTTTTGTTTGTGCTAGCAGTAGTTACATCCTTTACATCCATGCATGTGTTTTAAAGCAAACACTACTAACCATCAGATCATCTGAATTTTCTTCTGTTTACAGGCACACGTCTGGTAAATTATGTTTCTTTATGTTGCTTTGGTGTCCGTGTTGTGTATTCAGGTCCTATATGTGAGACAGGTGTATGGGAAGGGCCGCCCACTACTTCCTGTTTATGTAGGGTCATGAGGTCAATGATTGCATCACTGGGTGTAACCAAATGGAGGGTTTTTCATTTTGTATAGTTTTTTGTATTGTTTGTTTTCTTTAAAGTAGCCTTTTGAGTTACATTGTATGCAGTGTTTTACTTTACAAACTATTTAGCTGAGTAAATGAGTTCATGCATGACTTTATTCCTGTTCTTTGTTTGGAATTGTATTGTTTGGTCTGACCTATTTGTTTCAATGGTAGGGACTAACGAGGTCAGGTGTGGGCAAAGTCCTGTATAAAGCAAGTGGGATTTTTGCATGCCTGATTGTTTTATGGTAAAACGGAGATGCCAGCAATAAAGTATGCTTAAAAGAACTTCAATCGTCTGCTAATGCTATTTACTTATCAGCTTCCTTGCTGCTTAAGTTACGCTACATCACACACGTTTACAGCCTGATACAGAGAAATACGCTTTTGTCTCCACAGCTGATTTCCTCCTTCATTACTGTAATTTTTTAAAATAAATCATTAGTTCTCCTTTTATTGAGCAACTTTTCTGGACTGTGTTTGTGCCTTTAGGACCATTTTAATGCCACAATCTGACCAGTAACACGGCTGCTGCGAGGTTCCTGTGCAAACCACTAACACGGGCTGATGTCTGGCGGTGTTCGGGTTCCTCTGACTCACCACTTTGTTAGCTTTGGCTGAGCCGTTGGCCTCATTCTTCATGCCCCTCATCTTCATCCCCTCTGGAGACACAAAGGAGTGAAAAACAAACAAACCGTGAGAAAAATAATAAAACGTAGATGATCATTTACCAGAGGTACCTCACACACGTGCAGCGTGGCTCCTGTTCCAATGATGGAAACGGATTTAACATCGTTAACGTGTTAAAAATGAGTTTCTAATAATGACTTTCAAAGCTCTTGTTAATGACGGGCATCCAATCAGAAGAAGGCTGGTTTAAAGGGCTAAAAGCTAAAACAGCTCGCTGAGTATCAGATAACGGATTATTATGAACAGTGAATCATGGAGATGAAGAATAAACCGAACAAATCCACTTTAATGGATTCATTTCATCTCAGGCTAAACAGAAAGAGGAGAGAAGCATTCTGACCAAAAGCCTCGTTCATCATGGGTTCCTTCTCCTCTTCATCGCTCTCTTCATCCACCAGAGGACTGAAGGCGTACCTGTCACAGACACAGAGGACACGGCTTTACTTTACAGACACAAACTGGAGACTGGGGATTAAAAAAAAACCCAAAACAACATCCTACCTCTGGTTATTGGCTGACGGTCGCCATAGAAACATAATGACCAATAGGATGATGGAGAACAAGAAACGCCAGAAAGAGTCATCTATCCACAGCTCCCTCCAGTCCTGCAGAGAGAGAGAGAGAGAGATTCAGCAGTGAGGAAGAAAAAACAAACTCGGTTCAGAGAATAAATCGAATTAATCGATTAATTCTTCTCATTTTTGCAGTTAAATATTTTCCAATGAAACTTACCAACCAAATGAAAGCAAGAAATGAAAGAGAGAGAAGCTGGAGAGCAGCTTTAACTGAATCCAAGCGCTGAAGTACTTACAGACTGACATTTGGACATCCTGAAGGTCTTCGTGGTCCAGATGATGAAGATGACCGACGCTGCAAAGCACACAAACATCACAGCCTTAAAACAAGGACATGAAAATAAAATGTTAAACACAAAGAGAACTTTGAATACCTATGACAGCAAAGATGAGCGTGTTGGTGAAGTGTCTGTAGAGCGAGAGTTTCACCACGTTCCTCCTGAGGCGCAGCAGCTTCATCGTCTGAGTCAGGCTCACGAAGATGTGACGACACGGTCAAGGAACTTCACCAAGAGGAAGACTGAAACTTGTCGTGCAACATTCACTTCACACGCAGGACAATTTAATGCTTTAACTCTGTCCCACTCAGCTAACATCCACTCCCTCCCTCCCTGCACAGGTAGGAACAACCCAACAGCAGACGCACCTGTCGGATTTTCTCTGTGCCGATCACGCTTTGAGTTCTCCTGGTGCTTCAGGGTAACTCTGATGTTTAAGGACACCTCTGATTCAAGGGTCCATGTATCAGTTAGCTCTGGCTAAATATGTAACACAGCAGCAGGGTAGAAACAAGTGAAAAAGAAAGGGAGAGAAAGGCAAACTTTCACTAGAAAGGGGGGAAGGTGCAGCGGCGGATATCCACCAGCAGAGGGTAGAGTCGAGCACAGCCAGAGGAACAGCAGCCAGGAGCACTACATCATCTTCAGCCTGGAGAGGGAAAGAAAAGGAAGACAGGAGAAGACACGGAGGATGAGGCGAAGGAGACAAAATGAAGAGAAAGAGGAGGGACGCAAGAAAGCAGGAAGGGAAGGAAAAGAACGGAGGAAGTAAACAGAAAAGAGAAGGGTGAGAGGAAGAAGAGAAATGCACACGCAGCACAGCGAACAGCTTCTGTTCAGTCTAAAAGGTTTGTTTTGCTCATCAGGGTGCAGCAGGTGGGTGGAGTTTATTCATCATCCCTCCTGTCGCTCCATCGTCGGATATTTTAGTGGGTCGGACGCATTTACATCCCCCAGCAGGGAAAAACAAACAGGAAGAGACAAACAGGAGGACCCGGTGTGTTCAGAGATTTATCGCCCTGTGGTCGCTGCAGCTGAAACAGCCGCTTCGTTTAGACTTTAAATTTAGACTTAAATGTGTCATAAAATATTAAGAAAGTCAGTTGAATTCTGTGGTTTTTTCGCTTTGCTGAATTTTTTATTATAAATTAGTTTTAGTTTATTGGCTGATCCATTTTTACTTCATTGACGTTTTCATTTTGCTTGTTGTCATTTTTATCTGATTGGACTAGTTTCAGGTATTTCTTATACATCCGGTGTGTTTTACTTCATTTTGACTGCTGTACTGACCGTGTGGTTATGAATACATTTTTCAGTGTTTATGTGACGGATTTTATTTCGTTTTCAAAAGATTAATTACGCGTGAGAGGATGATTCTCTTAATACATGTTAAAGGATATCCACCAGACAATACAGGAATCAGTGAAGGCCAGCACTATGTCACACAAAACTTTACTGCTGGTGTCCCCTCGATCCTGCAGAGAAAAACATGTCAGACACACACACACACACACACACACACACACACACACAAAAGAAAACACACACACACACACACACACACACACACACACACACACAGTACTGCAGCGCTCTTGGGACTCACAGCGTTGACTCTTAAGAGTCCCTCGATGATGGAGAAGATCAGGTAGAGCAGACCAACGCCAACGACTCTGTGCAGCAGAGCGCCGAGTCTCGGCCTGCGGGAGAGAAACGAGAAACGTCGCTCTGTGTGTGTGAACTGTATCTGACCGCTATATAAAGTGAGTTGGATCAGGTGGCAAGGGATGGCGCTGGACAGACCTGTCACGCCAAAATGTATAGTGAGGGTGTGTTGGTAACGCCTAGCAGAGGCCCCAGTCCGCAAGATCTTCAACGCACACCTCCGGCAGAGCTTCAACAGCA